CCTGTAGCATATGGGAGCATCTTTCAGTGGCTTCCAATATGTTTGTTTGTTAATTTATTTATTTATTGAAACAGGGTCTGGTTCTGTCGCCCAGGCTGGAGTGTGGTGGCATGATTTTGGCTCACTGCAACCTCCACCTCCCAGGTTCAAGAGATTCTCCTGCCTCAGCCTCTGGAGTAGCTGGGATTACAGGTGCACACCATGACACCCAGCTAATTTTTTTTTTTTTTTATGTAGAGACAGGGTTTTACCATGTTGGCCAGGCTGGTGTGGAACTCCTGATCTCAAGTGATCCACCCACCTTGGCCTCCCAAAGTGCCAAGATTACAGGTGTGAGCCACTGCGCCCAGCCTCCATTATGTTTAGAATCAGGCCTGACTGCTTGCTCTCAGCCACTGTCCCAGGCAGCTTCCACACTGGCTCCAGAGATCCCTGCCTCCTGGTACAGAAGTTGCTGAGTGATCTCCTCCCTCCAAGGTGACTAGATTTAGTGACTGGGCTTCTCACTAGCAGAATACAGCACAAGTGATGCGAGGTCACTTCCAAGACTGACAGAAAACCATGAGTTCTGTCTTGCCCGTTTGCGCTGCTGGGTTTCCTTCCCACCCTCGCTGCTCACTCTGGGGAAGTGAGTTCTGATGCCCTGAGCTGCCTGCCCTACACAGAGGCCCATATGGCAGTAAACCAAGGGAAGGCCAGGGCCAACAGTCACAGAGAAACTGACACCCTCAGTCAAAACTGAATCCTGCCAATGACATGTGAATGGCCTCGGGGCAGGTCCTGCCCAGTCCAGCCGCAGATGAGACCCTGGCCCCAGCCTCCCTTGAGACCTGGAGGCAGAGGCACCCAGCTGAGCTGCCCTGGAACCAGGTCCACAGAAATTGAGTGATGATCAGTGTCCACTGCTGGAAGCCGTACGTTAGGTAGTGTTGTCACACAGCTGCCTCCAGGCCCGGGGCTGCCCCTCCCGCCCCCAGCTTACATGGGCCACACTGGCCTCCTTTCTCACTCTTCTGGCCAAGCTCACTTCTGCCTCCCAGCCCTGCCTGCTGAGGCTTCTCCAGTACACTGCCCCAGACTCGTGCAGGGCTGGCCCCCGCTTTGACATCTGCCACGGCACAGATGTCCCCTTAGCAAGGCCTCTCAGGCCCCAGCCCCACCAGCAGCACCAGCATTATTTTTGCTGTAGCACTTGCTTTTCTCTTTTTTTGCCCATTTGCTTTTATGCCCTGTCGATCACCCCTCCAGACTGCCAGCTCCGGAGGGCAGGCCCACCTGGGTCATTTTCAGAGCCATGCCTAGGCCCAATGCTGCACCCAGGGTGAGTGCTTGGGCACACCTGCTGAAGGGAAAGAGGAGGCTCTGAGAGCCCCCTCCTGCCTCTGAGCAGCTAACTTTGTGGAGAAGGATGCTTGTAATGGGGGGTGTGCGTTGGGTGGAGGCCGGGGTCTCCCAGAGGGACCTTGTGGGGCTCTCCCCGGCTTCAGTTGCTCCGTGGAGCGCAGTGGGCACTGCCTCCCCCTGGTGGCCGGCACTAGCACAGCAGCCTCAGGCCGAAAACGCAGAAAACAAAACACACACCTTTGTTTGGGTGTTGTCAAGGTAGCAGCTCTCCTGGGTCCCAGGGGGTCAAAGGAGAGGAACCTGCAGTCTCTGGGGGTAATTCAAGGAGCCTCAGAAGCTTCATTTGCTCCCCTCTTTCCCTCTGCTGGCTCTGGGGTGTCCAGTTCACTCATGAGGCCTCCTCACTCCAATCAGGACAAGGCTCTGGCCCCACTTCCAAACAAGAACCCTGAGGCTCCAACAAGGACGGTCTTGTCCCAGAAGAGTGGTCCAGTGCTTGGCCAGGCTCTGCAGCCCCCAGGCTTCTCTAGCTCAGAAGGACCTCCAAAGAAGGCATTTTCCACAGACCTCGCTGGGTAGGGGGGATATCCCCAATGGAGACCTAAGGCCGACACATCTAGAGCCTGTGGGACCCTTGGGGTCACCCAGCCAAACTTTCCAATTTATAGAGTAGGAATCTGAGGCTTCCTTTCCTCTAGCCCTGTCTGCACGGAAGGGGTCTTTTCCTACTTCCAAGTGATCACAGAGGCAAACCGAGAACCACACAATCTGTCATCTCCAGGCTGCCCTGGGGTGGCTCCAGTCCAGACAGACCCTGGGAACCTTGGGGGAACCCGTGCCCATCAGCCTGGCGTGTGTCCCCCCCCTGGCCCCCGTGTAGTGGCCCCGAGCATGTTGCTGGGGACTGGATGCCCCTGCCCACGGCAGAGCAGCCCCTGCCCTCTTTCTTCTTTCCCCATAGCCACCTCCCCAGCGACCCGTCCTACTCTGAGCCCCAGGAAGTGCATGGTGTGTGTGTCTGCGTGTCCGTGCGCGTGTATGCGCAGGCCTGCGCCTGTGCGTGCGCGGAGATGCCCAGGCAAAAGAGCCCACATGAAAGGAGGGCAGAGGTCCCCAGGATCTTAGGGGCTGTCAGTCCCAAAGCAGACCCCATGGGAAGGGTGAGCTGAGCCCTGCCTGGACTAAGAGGCCGGAACTGTCCCTTCTCCTCTGGATTCCGCCCACTTCGTGTGCCCAGGCCAGTCCCTGCCCCTCTCCTGTCCTCAGTTTCCCTACTGTCCCGGGCGGGGTTGGACGCGGAGCTGCGTCAGCGCGCGCTCAGCGTGGACGCGGCGCCGGGCTCCCTCTCCACGGTGGGTGTGGGCGGGGGCGTGCGGTCCTCCCTCCACCCGCGACACTACGCGGGGCCCCGGCCCAGGCCGGGGCCGGCGGGCACTCACCTGGCAATCTACCATCATCCTCAGCCTCTACGGCTCATCGCCGGCCCCAGGGCGGGGCTCGGGGCTGGCAGAGGCCGCTCGCCTCGGCCCGCGCGCGGCGCAGGGGTGCGCCCGGCTGCGGGGCTCATGGCGTGGCCTCCGGTCCCCACCGGGCCCAGGGCTCCGCGGCCCTCGCTGCCGCCCCTGCCGCCGCCAGCGCCGCTCCCATTGTCTGCGCCGCGCCGCGCCGCGCTCCGGCCTCTCGGGCCCCGCTGTTCGGTTCCGCCCCGGCTCCCGGGGCTCGGGCCGGGGTGGGCGGGGACAGCCGCGGCCCCGCCCCAGCCCACCCGCAGGTGCGAGGGGCGCGCCCCGCCGCGCGAGCTCGGGGGCGCGCTCAGGCCTCCCTCCCGCGTACGGACGCGGGTGGTCCCCGCGAGGGGCAGACGGGCCCAGTGTCCAAGGCCGGACGCGCGCACGGGGCCTGCACGGGACCGCGGACAGCGCGTGCACGTCACCCCGCCTCGCCGCGCGCACGCGCCACGCAACAAGCGCTGTGTGCGGCCGATCTCACGTGTCCCTCCGCCTCTGCCGCCTGCTCAGTACTCCCCACCCCGCTAGGACCTAGGGCCACCCTCGCCCCAGCCGGGGGGCCGCTGTATCGGCGCGTGGGCGTCACCAAATATACAGGCTCACCCTGTCGCCCAGCACTCCAATGCCACCTGCTGGACTCGGCTTGGTGGATGGCTGGGAGCTGGGTGACAAGAGGTGACAGCGGACTCAGCCTAGGCGGCGAGAAAGGTCGCCCCTTCCTCACCTCCCTCCTTGTCTTCCCTGACAGAACCCGGGGCCACCAGCTGCAGCCCCAGCTGGTGTAAGTTGCAGCTCCAGGGAGCCTGGTGGGGAGGGGGTCACACCGAGGTTGAGCGAGTGTTGGGGGTAGTCACTGTTATTAGGGCTCATTGACTTCGTCTCTTTTTATTATTTGTTTTTTGAGACAGTCTGGCTCTTGTTGACCAGGCTGCAGTGCAGTGGTGAGAACTCAGCTCACTATAACCTCCACCTCACAGATTCAAGAGATTCTCCTTCGTCAGCCTCCCAAGTAGCTGGGGTTACAGGGCAAGCCACCACGCCTGGCTAATTTTTGTATTTGCAGTAGAGATGGGGTTTCATCATGTTGGTCCGGCTGGTCTTGAACTCCTGACCTCAGGTGATCTGCCCACCTCGGCCTTCCAAAGTGTTGGGATTACAGGCGTGAGCCACTGTGCCCAGCTTCATCCCGTTGAGTATCAGAGCTGAGGCACCAGCACTGCGTGCCACTCAGCTCTAAGTGACCAAGCCTTGCTGTGTGTGGTGATCCCCACTTCATGGCTCTTCCCAGTCACTCATCCCTGAGCTGGTCATCAGAGGCCTCATCCTGTGTTGGGGTCTCGCTGGCCAGGTATCCCCTGAGTCCCACACTTGGACTCCATTTATATTTATCTTCCTGCTGGGACAGACCTGCAGTGACCCCTGCCTCATTGCCTGGCATTCAGAACGCTGTGTGACCTGGTCCCTATACCCCAATCCAGGCTCCTGGGGCCATCCTGACCCAGGAACCCCATCAAGCCCCTGCCTCGCTCAGAGCCCCTCCCAGCACCCCCACCGTGTCCTCCTCCACAATGTACTCACCTTCAGAGCCGCACTCCTCCCAACCCTGTGCAGCCACAGCCTTGAACCCAGATGACTTGGGTTCAAACTCACAGCTGGACCACATCACTGATAAGCTCATGGTGACCTCTCAGAGTCTCAGTTTCCTCTACTGAAAATGGGCCAGTGACTCCCACCCTGGGAGGGTATGCCAGGGATAAAGCTGGGTGCAAGTGGGGTGAGGGGGGTGGAGAGGGAGGTTCTCCCCTGCTAGGCAGAGCTACCCAGGCCTCAGAGTCTGCTGTTACCTCGGGTCCCCAGGTCCCAGCCTGTAATCCCAGCACTTTGGGAGGCTGAATCACTTGAGGTAAGGAGTTTGAGACCAGCCTGACCAACATGGTGAAACCCTGTCTCTACTTAAAATACAAAAATTGGCTGGGTGTGGTGGGCACCTGTAATCCCAAGTACTCAGGAGGCTGAGGCAGGCGAATCGCTTGAACCCAGGAGGTGGAGGTTGCAGTAAACTGAGATCGCGCCACTGCAATTCCAGCCTGGGTGACCAGAGTGAAACTCGGTCTCAAAAAAAAAGTTAAAAAATAAAACCACCCTAGCTAGGGTCGAACACACAGCACCTTTATTATAAACTACCCCAAACCCCTTAAGAAGGAGGTGGCTAGTCCCCTGAGAGTGTGGCTCACCTGGGGGTGCAGGAAACCAGAGGGAGCCTAGACTTGCTCCATTTCAAAGGCTTGCTCTGGGGGCCTGAGTGAAGAATTGGCTACATGTGGCTATGGGACATCAAGGGACCCAGGACCCCTGGGACCAGAGAAAAGGGGCCTAGGGCACCTTCACCCTAGGGTATTAGAAATGCAATGTTAAGGGCAATATGCAATAAACGGGGGGCTGGCGCAGTGGGGTTCAGGCACTGAGTCAGGCTGAAGTTTCACAGCCTGCCCCGCAAAGGCACAGCTGCAGAACGCAGCCAGCTTTCCAGGCCTGCTTTGTAACCGCACCTCCCCTCCCCGCCCCCATGGCTCTTCTGCCACATTACTGTGTGATCTTGTGTTCTACTGTGTGCACAGCCCTCTGCAGTTCATAGTGGCCTTTCCACATCCATTGTCCAGCTGAATTCACCTGACTGACAGAGGTAGGCGGGACAGGTCTGACGTGAGCTGAGCACTGGTGGCTGCAGGGCTTTGGGTCTTTATCCGTGGCAGCTCCAGCTCTGTGCTCAGCTCCTCAGGCAGCTGATATCCTTGACCAGGGTAGAAAAGCGGATCAGCTTCAGGCTGGGTGGCTGGGGCTTCCTGTCATCCCAGAGGTACTCGGGGGACAGGACCTTGGATGGCTTATTTGAGATGAAGTGACGGTTCAGGTGGCTTTCCTCCTGCCAGGCTGCCATGACGCCATTGGCCTTGTCCGCCAGGATGGCCATGTGGCAGCTCCTGGTAAACTCATATACCCGGGCCACCTGCCCCCCAAAGACCGCCCCACCATAATAGAAGTCCCCTTCGCTGTCTGCCACAAAGGCAGTGGAAACACGCCTGCGCTCGTAGGGGAACTGCTGGCGGGGTACGGCGTAATAGCCAGGGTGAATGGCAGCCACCAGGTCTCCCAAGGTCTCAGGGCCCCATGGGTTCCGAAACACCATGTCCACATCAAGGCAAAAGAGGTAGTCCACCTCCCGGTGAGCCCTCTTGGCAATGTGCTGGCTGATGGTCTCCATCCGGCGCATAGAAATCTCCTCCCAGTGGGAGTGACCCTGGATGGGGATGGTGCCGAGGAGCCGGTGGGGCCCCAGAGGGACCCGGGGAATGGCTGCGGGATTGTCAGTGAAGACGTAGTAGTGCACCCAGTACCCCCGCATGAAGAACTCCTCGGCTGACTCCAGGAAGGACTGGACGAAGTGAGTGTACCTAGTGATGATAACCCAGTCATCCACCGCTACCCCAGCAGCCTGCCTGGGTCCCCACTGTGTTCTGGGGTCAGCCAGGCTGGGGGCCACTTCCCAGCTCCCCATCTCAAGATGTCACTCTGCGCTGACCCTCTGGGTTCTCATTTGTCCAATTCCCAAGATGCTAGTACCAGCCTCTTTTTTTTTTTTTTTTTTGAGACGGAGTTTCACTCTTGTTACCCAGGCTGGAGTGCAATGGCGCGATCTCGGCTCACCGCAACCTCCGCCTCCTGAGTTCAGGCAATTCTCCTGCCTCAGCCTCCTGAGTAGCTGGGATTACAGGCACGCGCCACCATGCCCAGCTAATTTTTTGTATTTTTAGTAGAGACGGGGTTTCACCATGTTGATCAGGATGGTCTCGATCTTTTGACCTCGTGATCCACCCACCTCGGCCTCCCAAAGTGCTGGGATTACAGGCGTGAGCCACCGCGCCCGGCCTTAATACCAGCCTCTTATAGCTGTTGTAAGCATGTCCCTGGTAGAGATTCTTATGCTCCTGGACCAGGGGAACTTTTATTGAGCAATTTCTAGGTGCCCAGCAACATTCTAAGAATTCTTATGATCTTTGATCTTCATAAGCTACCTTAAAGCTTGCCTGTTTTATAGGCAGGAACACTGAGGATCATTATAGAGAAGAAAGCAGCCAAGAAGCAGGTGAGTGGAGGAGTCAAGGGAAGGCGAGTTGTGCTAGAATCTGGGGGCATGGAGAGGGTGTGGTTGACACAGCCCCGCCCCCAGGCCAAAACTCATTGGACAAGGGGGTCACCTGCCCCAGTGGGCCATTCATCATCTGGCCATTTAGGGCTTGGGGGCCCATCATGGTCCTTCTCTCAACAGTCCCAGGAAGGAGTCCCCGAGGTCCAGAGCAGGGCTGCCAAGTGGCCGCTCCTAAAGGAAGGCCAGGTGGGGTCTGGGGAGAGACCAGGGCAGACGATGGGCCCAGATGAAGCAGGGAGGGGCAAGGGGTCCTGCTGACAAAGGCTCCACTGTCCCCTCACCTGGACTCCGCCTCCTGTCTATGCTAGGGCCAGACCCCCTACCCTAGGAAGCCCCATCGCACCCTACTCTGCACTTTCTGTCTGCTCGGCACCTGGTTCTGAGCCCTCTGGGTGCCCAGCAGGGTCCTGTGTGCACATCTGGTCTCCTCCCTAGACTGTAAGCTCCTGTGGCTCAGGGAGCCTTCCTTCCCTCCCGCCACCTGCTACTCACTTCCCCACGGCAAACACCGTGACCCCGATGGTCAGGTTCAGCGGCTGGTAGATGTGCTGCAGAAGCTCTGGGTTGAAGGTTCCCTCGGAGACGATGGGGGCCAGCCAGGGCGTGAGTGTCAGCAGCTGTGTGGGCCTGGCAGCAGGGGGCCGTGGGCACTGAGACCCTCCCCTGTGACAGCCTAAGCCTCATCCCCTCCGTGGCTCTCACACTGTGTGACCCGGGGCCACTTCATCCCAATCTCTGGGCCTCCCTTTCCTCATATGGAAAGTGGGGATAATAATAGCCACCTCCCAGCAGGGCTGGGAGGACCAGGAGTTAACACACACGAGTAGGGGCCTGGCATTTTCCATGTGTGCCAAGCCCCTAATAAATGAGGGTCATTAATAAGGGCAAGACAACGTCATCATGAACAACAGCCTGAGCACCTACTGAGTGCAAGCACGGTGCACATGTTACAATACCTCTCCTCTGCTCCTCCAGCCTCCAGTGAGCTAGGTACTATTATGTACCTGCACAGAAAAAGCTCAGGGCAGTTGGTTATCCTGCCCAAGGTCACACAGCCCAGGTCCCTGACCCCCAACCCTATGTCTTTCCACAGCCCCTAACTCTGTGGGCCCCAAGGCCACCTTGACGTTGGCACTTCCCCCACCCGAACGTATAAATCAGAGCTCTTTTGGCCCCTCCCCCTGCTGTGTCAGGCCTCTCCATGACACCTACCTGTGCTCCAGCAGCTTGGGCTGGGGGTATTGTGACCTGCAACCAAGAAGGACCGGTGGTGGGGGGAGCCAACACCCTCAGGGACACAGAAGGGGCAATACCAGCCTCCTTACCATGCCACAGGCTGGAGTGGCTTCTCCCTCTCGTAGTGCAGCTTCGTGTTGCTGGTGGCAGAGGCAAGAAAGAGCCATCGTCATGGGGCTGGGGACAGAGACACTCAGCACAGGAAGAAGGAGGAGTCAGAAGTCCCCTCGGCTGGGCACCCATGGTCCATGTAGGCTCCCTCTGACCTTCCCTCACAGCCCCACCCAACTCACAGAGGAGCTGGGGACCCCTACAGAAGTAGTCTGCAGGTCATTGAGAGAGTAAGTGACTGGGCAGCGATTTGGACCAGTGCCGCTTGGTACCAAGGCTGATGCTTTTCCGACCATGTCGCTCTCGTTGTTGTAGAGGTTTGGAAAGCTGCAAAGCGCTGGTGACTGGGACTGGGGTGAGCTAATTAACCTGAGCCCACTGTAATGGTGTGTGCTGACTTGGTTAGGCTGTAGTATCTGGCTTCTCAAACAAGTCAAAGTGTTGCGTGAAACTTTTTTTTTAAGAGACAGGGTCTCCTCTGTTGCCCAGGCTGGAGTGCAGTGGGGCAATCATAGCTCACTGCAGCCTCGACCTCCTGGGTTCAAGCAGTCCTCCTGCCTTAGCCTCCTGAGTGGCTGGACCTGCCAGGCACTCATTAGCACCCATGGCTGATTTTTATTTTTTTATTTTTAATTTTAAAAAGACAGGATTTCACCATGTTGGTGAGGCTGGTCTTGAACTCCCGACCTCAGGTGATCCGCCCGCCTTGGTCTCCAAAGTGCTTGGATTACAGGCGTGAGCCATCACGCCTGGTGATTTTTAAATTTTTTTATAAAGATGGAGTCTTGCTATGTTGCCCAGGCTGGTCTGTGAAAGTATTTTGTAGATGTGATAACATTCTGTATCAGTTGCTTTTATGTAAAAGAGAGTATCCTAGACCACCTGGGTGGGACCAACCCAACTGGTTGAAAGGCCTTAAGAACAGAACTGGTGGCCAGCCCCGGTGGCTCACAGCTGTAGCCCCAGCACTTTGGGAGGCCGGGGCGGGTGAAGCACTTGAGCCCAGGAGTTCAAGACCAGCCTGAGCAAAAAGGCAAGACCTCATCTCTACAAAAACAACAAAAATTAGCTGGGCCTGGGGGTGTGCACCTGTGGGCTTGGCTGCTTGGGAGGCTGAGGCTGCAGGATGGTTTGAGCCCAGGAGGTCGAGGCTGTAGTGAGCCATAATCACACCACTGCACTCCAGCCTGGGCCACCCACAAAGTGAGACCCTGTCTCAAAAAAAAAAAAAAAGAAAAGAAAAGAAAAAGAACTTTCACCTGTGGGCTGTGGCATCTGCTCCTGCCTGAGTTTCAGCTTCCTAGCCAGCCTCACCATCACATAAGTCCATTTTTCTAGGTATGTTGGCCTGTCTACCTGCCTTCCTCTTACTGGTTGTTTCTCTAGTGGAACCCTGACTGCCACTTCTCTGCATCTGCAAAATGGGCAACCACCCTTAACCCTAGCGGTGTGGTGAGAATTACACAAGATGTGTAAGGGTCTCTTGGCCCACGTCCAGCATGGAGCAAGTGCTCAGTGAGGCAGGGCACCCTGGCCAAGTCTTGGCAGGCAGCCTGTGAGGTCAGTGTCAAAGTCAAACTGAGTGGAGAAGAAAGAAGGGGGTCCATGAAGGAGGTGGTGGGGCTTCAGGGTCAGACCCCTGGGTTCACCTCTGGCTCTGCCACCAACTAGACCAGGGACCTGGAGCCAGACGTTTGACCCTGTGAGCTTTAGTTTCCTGGTCCATAAAATGGGGACAATAAAACCATCCACTTCGAGTGTTTCCAGCAGGTGGGAGCCGGGCACAGAGAAGGGAAAGGCCGGCTGGGCTGGGTGGCTCATGCCTGTAATCCCTGCACTTTGGGAGGCCAAGGTGGGTGGATCACCTGAAGTCAAGAGATTGAAACCATCCTGACTAACATGGTGAAACTGTGTTTCTATTAAAAATACAAAAATTAGCTGGGCATGGTGGTGCATGCCTATAGTCCCAGCTACTCAGAAGGCTGAGGCAGGAGAATCACTTGAACCCGGGACGTGGAGGTTGCAGTGAGCCAAGATCACACCACTGCACTCCAGCCTGGCCACAGAGCAAGACTCCGACTCAAAAAAAAAAAAGACAAAAAGAAGGGAAAGGCCACACAGCAGCAGCAGCAAGAAAAGACCTGAGGCCGACTGTCCCCAGGCAGAAGCTCATAAGGACCCACCCACTGATGACACAGGCTGCCAGGCCCTTACAAGTTTCTTTTTTCTTTCTTTCTTCTTTCTCCTTCCTTCCTTCCTTCCTTCCTTCCTTCCTTCCTTCCTTCCTTCCCTTTCTTTCTTTCTTTTTTTTTTTTTGAGATGGGGTCTCTCTGTGTTGCCCAGGCTGGAGTGCAGTGGCACAATCTTGGCTAACTGCAGCCTTGACCACCTGAGCTCAAGCAATCCTCCCACTCCAGCCCCCTGAGGAGCTGGGACCACAGGTGCACACCACCACACCCGGATGTTTTTGTATTAATATTTTTGGTAGAGACAGGGTTTTATCATGTTGCCCAGGCTGGTCTTGATCCCCTGAGCTCAAGTGATCTGCCTGCCTCAGCCTCCAAAGTGCTGGGATTACAGGCATGAGCCACCTTGCCTGGCCCCTTGTGAGTTCCAATACGTCGTGTACGACGGAGTGGCTGAAGCCTCCTTGATCTCTTCCACCTCTAGCCATGCTCTTTTGTGTGTGGTAAAGTATACAAAACACAAGATTTACTACTGAAGCCATCTTTAAGTGTACATTTCAGTGGTAGTAAGTACATTCAGTGTCATTTAACTATCACCAACATCTGTGTCCAGAACTTTTTCATCATCCCAAAAGGAAGCCTGGTCCTCATGAAAGAACAGCGTGCCATTGCCCCTTCCCCAACCCCTGGGAACTACCATTCTACTTCTGCCTCTGTGAACTTGACTATGGAAGGTACTTCCCATAAGTGGAATCAAATTTTTGTCCTTTTGTGATTAGTAGCTACTCTTTACTTATTTTATTTTTTGAGATGGAGTCTCAGTAACTTTGTCACCCTGGCTGGAGTGGAGTGGCACAATCTTGGCTCAATGAAACCTCTCCCTCCCAAGTTCAAGTGATTCTCCTGCCTCAGCCTCCCAAGTAGCTGGGATTACAAGTGCCCACCACCACACCTCAGTAATTTTTGTATTTTTATTAGAGATGAGATTGCATCATATTGGCCAGGCTGGTCTCAAACTCCTGACCTCAAGTGAGTCACCGGCCTTGGCCTCCCAAAGTGCCGAGATTACAGACATAAGCCACCACACCCAGCCAAGTTGCTACTCTTGAATCAACAATTTTTTCTTAAGTCAATTCGTCAGATTGGCCCTCTGCCCTTGTTTTCTATAAGCAAGCATATTTCAGGGCCCTGCTCAGAAAGCCATGGGATTCCAAAAAGGGGTCAGGAGTTAGGAGAGGCACCAAACAGCCCGGCCTTCTGCACTCCCCTGGCAGAGAGCACCTCTCTCCTCACCACAAGCTCAGACACACTCCAGCTGCAGTGAAGAGTTACACACAAGAATACAAAAGCAGGTTGGTGTGGTGGCTCATGCCTGCAATCCCGGCAAAGCCAAGTTGGGAGGATTCCTTGAGGCCAGGAGTTCCAGATCAGCCTGGGCAACATAGTGACACCCTGTCTCTACAAACAAAATTTTAAAAAATTATCTTGGAGGTGTGGTGGTGCATACCTGTGGTCCCAGCTGCTCCGGAGGCTGAGGTGTGAGGATCACTGACCCCAGGAGGTCAAGGCTGTAGTGAGCTGTGACGGTGCCACTACACTCCAGGCTGGGTGACAGAGCCAGACTTTATACCCCCCACCCCCACCACACACACACACACACACACACACACACACACACACAAGATAGACAAACTGGAAAGAAAAAAAAAGTTGTAGCTATACTCAGCCAAGGGTGATGGTAAAGAATCCACAAATGCACCACACAGAGGAGGTGGGGAGGAAGCACTGCTCGCAAGAAAACATTCAGTTAATGGTAAGGCCTAGGGAAATGAGTCTCGCCAGTAACCTAAAAAAAAGAAAATTAAGGCCGGGGGTGGTGGTTCACGCCTGTAATCCCAGCACTTTGGGAGGCCAAGGTGGGCGAAGCATTTGAGGTCAGGAGTTTTAGACCAGACTGCCCAACATGATGAAACCCTGTTTCTACTAAAAACACAAAAATTAGCTGGTGCACCTGTAATCCCAGCTATTCAGGTGGCTGAGGCATGATAATTGCTTGAACCTGGGAGGCAGAGGTTGCAGTGAGCTAAGATTGCGCCACTGCACTCCAGCCTGGGCAGCAGAGCAAGACTCTGTCTCAATTTAATAATAATAAATAAATAAAATGTATGCCAAAGAGGATGGCATTTTCCCTCTCTCAGCCAGCAAGGTAGGTTCATTTTTGTTTTTGTAACTCCTGGTATTCCCAACAGTAGCCCAGGTGTAATTCAGGGTGGCCTTGCTGGGCTGCTCAGGCAGGGCACATCCATGAGTGACTGATGTGCTGTGGTACATCTGGAAATGACCTGATGACATGGCTCAGAACCTACCCACATCCTCCAGCCACTAAGGGAACATATGGGAACAAAATGATCTTTGAAGTGGAGAAAGGGTTATGCTGCTCATCAGAAACTCACTTAGAACTCTGGGAAGTTGAGAGCAACCGAAATGCCCAGCAGTTGGTGGTGGGAAAGGGAGAGGGGCTCAAAAATTAGGTGCCAGCCCCTGGGTGGAATAAGATGATGGTGACCGGACAGATGTGGTAGCTCATGCCTGTGATCTCAGCACTTTGGGAGGCTGAGGCAGGAGGATCGCTTGAGCCCAGGAGTCTGAGACCAGACTGGGCAACACAGAGAGACCTTATCTCATTTTTTAAAAAAGATGATGGGACATACATTGAAAAACAAAGTTCATTCTGGGAAAACAGGATAAAAACTGCAAACACACTATGATCACAACTGTTATCAATAGCAAGAAGCCATTTGGCATTTAGAACGATGCAGATGCCTAATCTGTTCAATTAGAAAGCAGAGCAAACAAGCAAAGCAAACAACGAACTTTGGAAGTGGAGTGTAATTTTGGACAGGTGAACCTGACAGGGTTTTCTCTTTGTCTTTTCTCCTTCCTGGCTTCCTAATTTACTATATTCTATGTTTACAATATAAAATATTCCTTGCTGTTAATTAGTGGCCTGTGATTCAGATGTTTAACTTTCCTTGAGTTGCCATGAGAAACAAAAGACCATGGGTCCAGATGTTCCTCTGACATTGTCCCAACCCATTCTTTCAGTCTTAACTGTTAAAAAGTCAGACTCAATTATAGGCTCATGCCTATAATTCCAGCACTTTGGGAGGCCAAGGCAGGCGGACCACTTGAGGTCAGGAGTTCGAGACCGGCCCGGCCAACATGGTGAAACGCTGTCTCAAGTGAAAATACAAAAATTAGCCAGGTGTGGTGGCATGTGGCTGTAATCCCAGCTACTCAGAGGCTGAGACAGGAGAAGGAGGGAGGCGGGGTTGCAGTGAGTGGAGATCGCGCCACTGCACTGCAGCCAGGATGACAGAGTGAGACTAAAAAAAAAGTCAGACTTCTTAGGTGAGGAGGACTTTGGTCACATGTTCATTTGTTCCTTGAATCCACAGAACACAAAAGTGAGCAACAAGGTGAAGTCCTAGAAGCACTGAGCACCGCTGTTCACTGGGAGCAGCAGCAGGCTATTTATGGGCATCACCACTCCCTGCTCCCAGTGGCCAGGGAGGGGCTGCTACCATCCCATTTTACAGACACAGCAAGTGAGGCTCAGAGCTGTGCAACATGTAGAAGGTCAGACCATGCAGGGGGCTGCAAGGATGCTGGGAGACCGAAATGGGAATTTCACTTCATGTTTGTCACAGTCCTTAAATTACCTAAATACCATTGCATTTCTCAGAAATATGAACCAGGAAGCAGCAGATGACATGAATTTAAATACTCTCCTGTCTCCCCAACTCCCAATTCTCCTAGCCCCACCCATACTTACAAGATCTCTGGGCAGGGGAGATAATAGGGGACATAGGACACCGGTAGCCAGTTTTCAACATACACCCTGGGAAGAAAAAAAAAAATCCATTGATCCACTCTGCTGCAGAGGCTGAAAACACACCTCATGCACATCATTGGGAGTGAAGGTCTCCCACGGTGCATTAGGAAGGCAGGTCCCCTATGATTCTGTAGGTCTGGCTGACCTCAAAGGACAAAGCCTCCTGGTATTTCTGGCATGTGTCACAGGGCCTGGCAGGCAGGCATTCATTCCTAGGGAGTGCATATTCTTGATGCCAGGCCCCACACACAAGCAGCAGGGTGAGGGGCAGCCACACAAGCTTCATGGAAGGACAGACACAGAGGGTGAATTTGGGAGCAAAACAGGGATTCCCTGTCAACACGGGTTGATGAATGGCCCAGGCAGAGAAAAGAGCAAGTCAAAGGCCAGGAGGCCAGTACAAGGCAGAATTCAGAAGCAAGCGACACTAGTTGGGTCTTGCTGGGGCTGGGGTTAGGAAACAGGTGAGCCAGGAGGGTTTGGTGGACCTGGAACCCTATGAGATCAAGACTTTGGGGTTGATGGGAGTCCTGGGAGGGGATAGAGACAGGGAGAGCTCCGTGGGGCAGACTCACCACAGGACACTGAGGCTTGTGCCCACCAACAGGCAGATCCCCAGACCCAGGGCCAGTCTCTGGCGATGCATCACTGGGAGCTGCACCTAAGCCTGGGCACCTGCAGAGGCCCCACCGGCCTGGGTGGATCAGGCTGTCCCCTCCCAGGGGTGTCAGGCTCTAAGCCTGGTCTCTGAGGTCCTGGGAACACCTGCAAAGGAACGCCTTTTTTTTTTAGACAGAGTTTCACTCTTGTCACCCAGGCTGGAGTGTAGTGGTGTGGTCTCAGTTCACGGCAACCTCCACCTCTTGAGTTCAAGAGATTCTCCTGCCTCAGGCTCCTGAGTAGCGGGGGTTACAGGCATGAGCCACCACTCCAGCCAATTTTTCTATTTTTAGTAGAGATGGGGTTTCACCATGTTAGCCAGGCTGGTCTCAAACTCTTGACCTCAGGTGATGCCCCGCCTCAGCCTCCCAAAGTGTTGGGATTATAGGCGTGAGCCACCGCGCCAGGTCAGGAACGCTCTTTATCTGGAGATGGTGACCCCAGTCCTGCAGCCCTGCAGCCCTGCCCTCCCCTCTGTCGCCCGCCAGGGTCATGTGGACGCTAGGTCCCGCTGGATCCCAGGCTCAGCTCTGGCAGCTCTGGGAGGCACACAGCTCGGTGCTCAGCTGTTGCTTCCAGCTGTCCTTTCGGAGAGAGGCTGGGGCCCACTTCACCGAGGCGGCGGCCCCTGCCTTGGCTCCCACGTCTCCTTCCCTCGGTCCATTCTCGGATATGAGCCGAGGCCTCCGGCCAAGAGGCCAGGATAGCAGCACGAGGGAGGGGCGCATGGGCCAATCCACCCTTTGCTGGAAATCAAGCCCTCAGGCACAGCGAGAACACCCGCAGTCCCAGCGCAAGATGCGCGGGGAGGGGCGCCCAGGATTCCCGGAAAGGACTGAGGTGGCCGCTGTCCACTCTCTGGGAGGCTGGACCAGGGTTCTCCAGGGAACGGTGGGAACGCGCCTGAACCCGCTGTCGGTGACCTTGGGCCAGTCATCCCCTGCCCCAAGCCTCAGTGGATGGGGGACGGCACTCGGGGCCCGGGTGGAGGGTGCGCGGGAACGGCTGTAAAGCGCTGGGCGTAGCCCGGGCCACAGTGAGCGGAGGGCGGGGGTCCTGGGGGTTAGGCCGCTGCACACTCGGGAGTGTCCGGCAAGCCCTCTCCCTCTTCCTCTGGGGCCTCAGTTTCCCCAGCCGGGCCTCCAAGCCCCGTCTCACCCCGCCTCCCGTGGACACAGAGCCCATCCCCGAGCGCCGCAGACACCAGTCCAGGGTCGGGACCCGGGACCCTGGGTCGGAGGTGCGCACCTCCTGGGCTCGGGCGCTCCTCCTCCCTCCCCGTCGCGGCGGGGTCTGGAGGGGGGGCCGAGGGAGCGCGACTGTCCCTGCGGGGTGCAAACTTACTCCTTGCCGCCGGACCGGCGTTAGGACGGACGGATGGGCGCACCCCGGCGTGGAAAACGGACTCGGCTGGCCTGCTCAAGCCAGCGATACCCGCGCGAGCGGAGGCTCAGATGCAGCCTGGAGCTGGGCAGGCGGACGGCGGGTGGAGGGCGCGGGCGTGGCTGGTGAAGTCACATGGGGAAGAGGGAGCCGCAGCCCCGCTCACTTACCGCAGGCCCCGCCCCTACGGTCCAAGAACCCCACCCTGGGTCTCTGGAACCGGGTCCTCCCGGGGCCGAGTGCCTGAGCGGACCCTGGGCCTGGCTTCTAGGATTTGGTCTGGGATGCAGCAGGCCCAGCTCGGGGGCCAAGAAGCGCAAGTCCGGGGGCCCAGGGCGGGGTGCGGGTGGAGACATGAAGCGATTTGTGGGGAAAAGTTCGTGTTTGGAAGAGCTTTGAAGCAGTCACGGAAAGGGAGAACCAGCTGGACGTCGCTTGCTTTGCTGTCCGCTTTAGGATCTGTCCTCCTTTTCTCGCGGCCTCTGAGCCAGGCGCCCCTGCCCAGCGAGGGGACACCAGCGAGTGGCTCCCAGAATTACCTGGAGCCTCCTCTTCTGTGAAATGTGGTTGGCCACACTTTCTTCCCATGGCCTGTCGGGGTTGCGTTTTCCCTTCCACGAAGGGGCTGCTCTTGTCCACCCCAGGGACTCTGGAACCTCAGGAGAGGCTCTCTTGCAGCTCAGTAGAGGTCGGCCAGCACATGGGGTAGACGGTTTTCATAGCCGAAACCTCTACAGGAGGGGAGGGACAGGAGGACAAAAGGAACGGGCCCTACGGGAAAATAAAGGAGAGAGTCATCAAAGTGGTGGGGGGCAGGGACCCAGCCAGAGACCGTGGGGGAAGACGGGCTCAGAGAGACTCTGGGTGTGCTCCAGATGACAGTGCAGCTGGAAGTTGGAAACCCAGAGCCGCCTGGTGCCTGGGCAAGGCCTCCCAGGTCCCTCAGGGGTGTGGATACCTGTGTCCTTGGGGTTTCTCTAGAGGACCACAGGTTCCTGAAAGGCAGGGCCTGTTTTCTCAGTCTAGGGGTGCCTGGCACCGGCCCTGGGAGCTGGTGAGTGATGTTTGAAAGGTCACGCTTCCACCTTTTAGCTGCAAACGCTGGCTCCCTGGGACCTGTTCTGGGATCTGCTGATTCATTTTCCTTACTCAGTTTATGTTTGCAAAGTTCCCTGGTCTGCCTTCCAGACACTGATGCCTCTCTGGGAATTGTTTTCTAATAAAGCTTTAAGGCAACCAAGACAGGGCCGACCTAGCCCTGTGGCTCTGCCTCCTGGCCACAGTCCTCTCTTGGCCCAACCAGCAGTCTCTCCATTACTCCCCTCTGCATCCCAGAGGAGAAAAAATTGGCCTGAAGACAGCACTGGCTTGGAAGGGGCTGGGTGCAAAGGTAAAGAAAGACAAAAGAGACCTCCGTGACTTAAAAATATAATAATCAAAGGCAAGGGAGGTAAAAGGAAGATGGGAGAAAACACTGTAGGTACATTTGGACATCTTTTTTTTTTTTTTTTTTTTTTTGAGATGGAGTTTCACTCTTGTTACCCAGGCTGGAGTGCAATGGTGCGATCTCGGCTCACCACAACCTCTGCCTCCTGGGTTCAGGCAATTCTCCTGCCTCAGCCTCCTAAATAGCTGGGAGTACAGGCACACGCCACCATGCCCACCTAATTTTTTTGTATTTTTAGTAGAGATGACCAGGATGGTCTCAATCTCTTGACCTCATGATCCACCCACCTCTGCCTCCCAATGAATATCTTTCTCATTGGAGAGTTAAGTGGGCTGAAGTAGGAACGCAGGCAGAGACTTGCAGTGCTCAAGGGACCAGAAAGAGCAAATCCAAGCCAGGCAGAGGGGGAGAAGAGCAGTGGGGAGAAGGGCCACCGCCAGTCTTCCAGTTTTGTCTTTCTCTATATGACTTAAAGAAAACTCATTAAATATTACTTAAGGCATGGTGGCTCAAGCCTGTAATTCCAGCACTTTAGGAGGCCAGGGTCAGAGGATCACGTGAGCCCAGGAGTTCAAGAGCAGCCTGGGCAACGTGGTAAGCCACGAGCCTGGAGCCAGGGTAACAGAGTGAGACCCTGTCTAAAAAATAAATAAATAAATAAAATTTTTGTTTTATTTAAGTTTTTTGTTTGTTTGTTTGTTTGTTTTTGGAGACGGAGTCTCGCTCTTTTGCCCAGGCTGGAGTGCAGTGGTGCAATCTCAGCTTCCTGCAACATCCGCCTCCTGGGTTCAGGCAATTCTCCTGCCTCAGCCTCCTGAGTAGCTGGGATTACAGGAGCATGCTATCACACCTGGCTGATTTTTGTTTTTTTTTTTCAGTAGAGAATGGATTTCACCATGTTGTTTGCCAGGCTGGTCTCGAACTCCTGACCTCAGGTGATTCACCCACCTAGGCCTCCCAAAAAGCTGGGATTACAGGTGTGAGCCACTATCTTTTGAGGAGGCACTGGGCCACTGAAGCTGGGACCCAGGTTGGTGCTTCCACTGCTGGCTGTGGTGAGATGCTCTCCCCACTATTGGGCTGTGTGCTCTCAGGACAGGGATGGTTTCTGGGGTTCAGTGTCACATTCCGGGTGTCTGCATGCAACAGGGGTGCTGGATGCATGAATGAGTGAAAGAGTGAATGAACCCAAGACTTCTTTGTGGCTCAGGTTTCTCCTCTGTCAAATAAGAGTACCTGGCTGGCCACAGTGGCTCACACCTGTAATATCAGTACTTTGGGAGGCTGAGGCAGGTGGATCACCTGAGGTCAGGAGTTCGATACCAGCCTGACCGACATGGAGAAACCTCATCTGTACTAAAAATACAAAATTAGCCAGGTGTGGTGGCACATACCTGTAAACCCAGCTACTTGGGAGGCTGAGGCAGGAGAATCACTTGAACTGGGGAGGTGGAGGTTGTAGTGCCATTGCACTCAAGAATGGGCAACAAGAAACTCTGTCTTAAAAAAAAAGAGTACTTACTGAAAGGGGCTGTTGGGGGGATGGCACTGATTCATTCATGTATTTATTTAATAAGTGTGAAGTGCTCTGTTTCAGAGTCTGGGAACACACGGTGAATAAGCACATTCTCCGCTGGTGTGGAGCCCCACAAGCAGGGTTGAAATGAGAAAGGCGAGTCTCAGGCACATGGTCCCAGCTCACTGAGAGCAGCTGCTGGGATTGGAAGGTCACCCACACATTCCTGTGCAGCAGCTCAGCCAGCCTGGGTGGGGTCTGTGGTGGAGGGGATGTAGGATCCTTGGTCCAAACTCCCAGGCTATCCACTGTCCCTATGTGGCCATTCCCCTCACTGGGCCTCAGCTTTTCATCTGGAAAATGGGCTTGTGAGGATATCCATCTCTCGGTTTCTCCATAAATTGGTCTCAATCCTCTGAGGCAGACAAAGAAGTGGCCTGTCTTCCCACTGGTAATTCCTGAGGGCTGAGGTTTGCATTCATGAAGGGAATAGGAACTGTCCTCTCCGAGGGACTGGCTACGGTCCCCTTCTGGTTAGCGGCTGGACTTGGCTCCAAAGCTAGTCCTTGGGCTCCCCACCATGCACAGACCCTCTGTAATTGATCCCCAGCTGTGACCTACCTCTGGGATGCCAGAGAATGCTCCAGAGCGTTTCCCAGAAATAAGGGAGTTCATGGTCAAATCTGGGAACTCTTAGGTGAGCAGGGGTGGCAGAACTCCCGAGACCTTTCATCTCTAAGAGGAGGTGGGAGAGTCTGCAGAGCTTCACTGGCTGTGGAGCTGGGATGGAGGGACTGGATGGGGTGGACGCGGGCCCCGTGGCCTCCCATGTGGACCTTACTCTCCTCACCTTAGGAGAAGCTTCTCTCTGGAGCAAGAGCCAGTGTTTTGTGTGGCCGGTAGGCCTCTCTGCAAAGCTTAATTCACACTTAGATGTTGATTTTGGCTCCCCTTGACCTTGGAATCTGGGGGTGGGCAGCAACAGTGGGGTCCTGAGGACAGACCCCAAGACTCAGCCCATCACTCAAGGTTCTGCCTCTGCTTTGCTGAAGGACCTTGGACAAAACCTCTGTTTTTCCCACTATGCATCATGGTGACAGCTTCCTTTAGTGCTTGTCAAACTGTGCCTCTCAGTGGCCTAGGAATGAGGGTGTCCGGGAGGAGGTTCCCGGAGTGTATCTGCGTTGGGGGTAGGGAGTCCAGGCCTCTTTTCAGCTCCACCCTGAGCAGCTGTCTCCTGTGTTTGACACACCGGGGTTCTAATCTATATTATCAGAACAATGTATCACTGCCCCCAAAAAGTGGGGTTTAAAGACTACAGGGCTGAGGGGACTCTGGGCCAGCCCTGGCCATCTGGGGCTTCCTGCACTCTATTCCTCTTTGACCTGGTGGTTCAGGAGGACAAGTGCTTTCACAGCAGCACACCTGGCCCACCCAGAACCCAGCAGCCTCCAGGAGCCAGTCTCTGATTCAAGCCCATCATCCTGCACTAGCTAAGGCCTGGTCTGGGCACCAGCCACACCCATCACACCCTGTCCCAGGGGAGCAGATCCAAGCGCTTACTGAAACCAGCACGCTAAGCCCGGAGGAGGGATCCCAGGGCTGGCTCCTGAGCCCCCAGCATTTGGGGGAGGAGCTTCCTGGCTGTACTGGAAGCCACACCCAGACCTTGACCCCAGGGATGGCCACAGAACACATGTTCAGCAGGCTCCCCTGAGAGCAGAAGGGGCCACACTTCAGAAATGGTGGAAAGAGGAAAATCCAGCCTCCATCTTCATCAGGACAATGAAATAAGACAGTGAAATAGCATGTCTCACCTACCAAATGTGCCATTATTTCCCCTAAAAACCCCTCAAGTGCAAACATACACACATGCACGCACGCACGCACACATGCACGCTCACACTCACCCACATATACACTCACATGCACACTCACACACACACACTAACACACATACTAACACTCACATACACAAACACACATACACATACACACACATACACTCACACTCACGTACTAACACACATATACTAACACACACACACACACTCAGAGGGCTTTTTCTCTTCTCTCATTCAACAACAGTCAACACAGAAGACTTCCGTGACCAAATGTGTGGGTGTTTCCCACACACCAAGCAACAGACACAAGCTGGGTGTCC